GGTGTACGTAGCAAGCTTATCAACATATACAGTAGTAACCCAAGAACAAGCGAATATTCTACACCCTTCTACTTACGTGTTCGAGTAAAAGACGTCCCTTGTTCAGCTGATGATGGTCAGATCTTAAGAGCAATTGAAAATGAAGGCAACTGTAATGTGCACAAAATATTCAGAGAAACGCTTCGTGTGGATGGGTTGCTAACAAATTGCCAAACGGGCGACCGCATTCTTCATGTGACCCATTAGAAAAACCCCTACCAAGAACCATTAAAATAGGCAAATATAGAGCCATGGTCTTCCATAAAGACCAAATGCCATCATCAAATGACAACCTTATTTGCAACAAATGCTTACAAAATGGGCACAAATTTCGGGATTGTCAGAACGATTGGGTTTGTAAGATGTGTAAGTGCCCAGGTCATAAGCAGGCAGATTGTCCAAGCTTTGATGTTCACAAAGAGGAAAGTAACAACATGTCTAACGAAAACAAAAGCAAAACCTTATCTGAAAGTGAAACAGACAGTGATGGATCAAACACTGAGTCTATTGACGAACTTAAAGAAGTCAACACTAGAACACAAGCCACCTCACAATTAACTACAACAAACTCAAATCCTCAAGAAGTATCGAGTGTACTAGGAAAGGCCCTGAAGAAAATTACAAAATCAACATTTTCCTTCGAAAATAAAACCAACAATATTTCGGATGAAACGGAAACCCCAAGAAAGAAAAAAAATCAACAAAAAAAAAGAAAAAATCTGAAGCAGTTAACGGAAAAAAATCAAACAAACAGACAACGATGTTTCAATTTAGTGCTGCTACACCAGACTCTCGCAGTGAAAAGCGTCAAGCAACGACACCAACTGATAAAGTACATGAACGATCCGTCCCTATTCAAAAACCAAAAGGGCATTAACTCATTGGAAGTCAACATCAATACAAGTTAATGTAGTTTACTAAAACAAACAATTAAACAGTAGTTTTAAATCCCCCCCTTTTTTTGTTGTTGTCAAAAGTCCCCAATATCTTTTAAATAATCATGTGTGTATGCAAATTTATATATGTTATTTTGTCTTTTTTTGTTTTTTTACTTATATTATAAAAAATAAACAAAAAAACGGATATGGTATAATAGTAGATTATACATATTCCAATGAAAGAGTTAAACACAATTATAGATATACATGTCATTTATTCTTGTTAATCAATGGTATTACTGTTTTAAAACGTCACAATGCACTTTATGAAAAACAAACTACTAGCTAGGAGTTATCTTAAAAATTAGAACACATCTATCAAATGTTTTGTAAATGAAAATTTCAACATGAGGTTTATGTCAATAAAAAGTTATGACACATCAGTAGTTTCATATGCAAAGATATTCCGATTAGAGCAGAAAAATTCTAGCAACACATTTTCTCACTACCACAAATTAAATAATGTCATGAATCCAAGGCTATCATGTCTATTAAATCCCAACAAATTTAGGTAAAACATTGCACGAATATTACATCTTCTTGTGCAATTCTTTGTCAGTTTTCACTGGATATTCAAAAACGCACTAAACTGATTGAGCACACAGAATAGGAAAACCCAATTAACATGGTTAAGTTGTCATATCATTCGTGGCATTATGCTTCTACTTCACATCCAAAATCACAGTCGTCACAAAACTAAATTAAAATTGCTCCTATTTACATGTATGTATCATGAAACTCCAAACAGTAAATTAGTGCAAATGCACAATGCAATATCTCTGCCAAACAACAGATTTAACCTGAAAATAAAAATAAAAGTAACAATAATAAGATTGAAAATTTCTTTCAAACACAAGCAGGTTAAAAATAACAGGAAAATAAAGTATACCATATATATCGATAACTATGTAGCATACAACATAATGTTCATTGTCATTGAAGTTGTTGTTATTAAAGTTATGATATTATGTAATTCAGAAATTAATCTGCATACTTTATATATGTATTCAACTTATCTACTTGATATGCTAAAACTATTGTCTATATTGTATACTTTTAAAGACATGTGGAATATAGAAATGAATACTAACATACATTGTATATAAACAATGCAAAAAAGAAAGTGTCAAGCTCTAGTTTAATAGATTGTATTTTGATAAAAAAAAAAAAAAAATTTTGTGCACAACATATATTTATTATAATTAATTACATCTATAATGAGTGAAAAACTACATATATGTTCCTTAAACTGTCAGGGCTTAGGGCAAAAAGAAAAAAGAGAAAGACTAAACCTATGGTGCAAAAATCAAAAGTGTAATATTTTATTCATACAAGAATCACATTTTATTGGAAAAAATGAAGATGTCATAAACAATGAGATAAAAGGCAAATTTTACCACAGTTTCGGAAATTCTCAATCAAGAGGGGTCTCAATACTAATCAAAGAAAACATTAAACATAAAACTATCAATGAAATTAGAGATAATGATGGAAGAATAATACTCGTTAATATAGAACTTGATGGTAATATCTTTACACTACTGAATGTGAATGCTCCAAATACTCGTCAAAACAGAAACTCATTTTTCAAAAAATTAAATAATATCATTAATAATAACCGTTTAGGAATAATCATAATGGGGTGACATGAATGAAACTTTAACATCATATGATAGAAAAAGCATTAGATGTAATAATCAAAATAAACCTGTTAATAGTTTAAAACAACTAATAAAAAAACAAACTTATTGATATATGGAGAGAACTAAATCAAAACACCAGTCAGTTTACTTGGAGAAGAAAAAGCAATATAAATCTTGCAAGCAGAATTGATTTTTTTCTAATAAGCCCAGATATAAGACCTCATATAATATCAGCAGACATAAGACCTGCACTAATTTCACATACAGATCATCAAGCCATCTCAATACAAATAAGACTTAATGCTCAAAATAAAGGCAAAGGTTTTTTTAAGATAAATAATAGTATAATGAATGATGAAAAATACAAAGAAATAATAATTAATCTTATAGACACCCATAAAGAAAAAATACTCACCAAAAATAATGATCCTAGAGTTACTTGGGACATTTTCAAAACTGAAGTAAGGGAGGTAACCATTGCATACTGCAAACAAAAGGCTGCTGAAAGTAAAAATGAAATAAAAATTTTAGAAAACAAGTTAAAATGCTTATATGAAAAATCAAGTAATTCAGAAAATTATAAAATAGAAATAAATAATGTAGAAAACAATTTACAAAATTTATACATAAAGGAAACTAGAGGTGCACAAATTAGGTTCCGAGTCAGATGGGCAGAAGAAGGGGAAAACATACAAAATACTTTTTGGGTCTTTAAAAATCAAGACAAACAAAAAAAAACTATTTCTGCCCTTAAAATGATCAAGGTAATATAGTTACAGACGCATCAGATATACTTATTCTTGGGAAAAATTACTACCAAAACTTGTATAAAAGTACTGAACCAGACCCTTCTGAAATAAAAAAATATATTAGCGAAACAAAGATAGATCACTCACTATCCAATAATGATAGTCAACCATTGGGCGGTAACCTAACAATAGAAGAATGCACAAATGCTATATTCAATATGAAACTGAATAAATCCCCTGGACTAGACGGTCTAAGTGTAGAATTTTACCGCACTTTTTGGTCAAACCTAAAAGAATCTGCAGTGAAAGTATTTAATACATGTTATCAAAAAGAAGAAATGACAACTCTCCAAAAAATTGGTGTTGTTTCCCTTTTATATAAAAAAAACCGATCCATTATCATTAGATAACTACAGGCCAATAACTTTCTTGAATGTAGATACTAAGCTTATGGCCTATGCCTTAGCGCAACGGTTAAAAGTGGTGTTGTCCAAAATTATTCATAGTGATCAGAATGGTTATATAAAAAATTGCTACATAGGTTTTAACATTCGCCAGATTCAAGATATTATAGATTACTCAGAAAAATTTCATATAGATGGAGTTTTATTGTTCATCGACTTTTCCAAAGCCTTTGATTCTTAAGAATGGCCCTTCATGTATGAAGCCTTATTAAAATTTGGATTACCACACTCCTTCTTAAAATGGGTTAAAACTTTATATAATGATACTAAAGGGTGCCTGACGAATAACGGCTGGATCTCAGAAACCTACAGTCTTCACCGTGGGATAAAACAACGATGTCCATTAAGTTCTCTAATTTTTGTTATAGCAGTTGAAATCCTGGCCTGTAGAGTAAGACAAGATTCTAACATTAAAGGTTTTCAAATTAAACTTGATGAAAAAACGCATAGTCTAAAAATTTCCCATTTGGCTGATGACAACTCTCTTTCTTAATTCTAAAAATGAAATTAGCCTAGCATTAAACCTAATAGAAATATTCGGAACACTTTCTGGTTTAAAACTCAATAAATCTAAAACAGAATATATATAATTTTATATGGAACAATAAACAAGAAAAAGTTAAACGTTCAACACTTAGCAAAGATCACACAAATGGGGGTCTGAAAATGACAGACATTGATAATTTCTTAAATGCATTACAAATTTCATGGGTTAAACGATTAACTTCAAAGGAATTTGCTAATTGGAAAGTCATTCCAACATATTATTTTAACAAATTTGTTAAAAATAACCTTATATTTCATATGATGCCAGACAACATAAACTCAATATCCAATTTAAGTAACACATTACCCTCATTTTACTTGAACATATTAAAGAGCTGGTACAAAGCAAATAATACACCAACAAGTACCACACCAATCACAAACTTTAAAAATATTAGGCAGCAAATGTTGTGGGGTAACAAAAATATAAAATTTAAAGGAAAATGTTTAGTTTATCTTAATTGGATAAAAGATGGTATTATTTACATCAATGATATTATTGATTATAAAGGGCATATTTCACAAAAAGTTATATTGGAGAAATTAACCTCTAAACTTAATTGGATCTCAGAACTTTCAAAATTGAAAAATTCAATTCCAAAACAATGGCTAAATGCCAGAACAAACTTATCTATGAGGACTCAAAGAATATTGCTGCAAAGTTCAAAAATGACGAATACCTAGAGTCTTTCAACGTGACGGGTAAGTAATGAATGCAGTATAGTTATATATACTAGGTCTTATTAATGCTTATAGAATGAAATAAGAAAAAAAACTTTTTTTTTATCATTTAGTTTCACAAAATCAAAAATATAGTTACCGTTCAAGCAGATCAGCTTCATCAATATATGATTAACTTGTATTAATTTGTCAATTACAGTTATCTCCCTTTATTTGGAGGAGGAACAAAAATGTAAAAAACGCTATAATCTATTTGTTATTTGTTAAAATTGTCAACATGTAAGATTCTTGAACTCTAACTCGTTCTTTGGGGAAATATTTAAGATATGGTTTGCGTTCTACTTTCAGAATTTGCAAAATTCAGGACAAATGTAGAACGATTAATTTCTGCATTTTTATGAATCGGATGAAAGAGGAGCTTTGACGCTGGTATATACCAATACGTTTGAAAATGATTCTTGTCATCAAATCACGTGTTTTGTAAAGGTCTATTTTATTTTTTTTTCAGATTATGTGTCCAGCAGAAATTATGTCCTTAAAACCTTTCTTGACGGCATAATTGACGACGTCCCATCGAAAAAAAACTCAGCTTTGGAAACCGCAAGATGTATAGACTACATAAACTATATGAGGAACTCAATGTTTATATCACCACTGAGCTTCATGCAGAGTCTTTTAACCTACTGCATAACTGGAAGCAAAGCTGCAGTAGTTTTGAATTCAATTGGACACCCATCTGGTAGTTATACCACAGTCAACAACTGGATTAAAGAGTACAGCAAAGAAGCACTACAGTGTCCTAATGACGTGGATGTTGTTACTTTCTTTGATAACAACCAGGTATGTATTCTATTAATAAGCACAAACATAAGCTGTACCGTCTCCTGCGTTTGTTTTCTGGTGGATAATTGTCTCAATGCAATTATAATAGATCTTTTATTTATATACTTACAGGCCTGTTAGATATGTGCATATACGAATAAAGAGGAACACACATTACACGTTCGGAAAACATCAAAAGTTTCCTTCAGTTTTTATTTTCATTATATATATATATATATATATATATGTATATGATTTAAAATGAGGGATCTTAACTCGTGTTAATTATTTTCAGGTATTACAGAGAAAGTGGCGAGTTATTTCTGATTTCAAATCGGAAAGCAGTGTTATTACAAACCTGATTCATGTGTTACCCAACCCAAACAGTATGTTGCAATTGGAGGACAAGTTTTCACCAAAACATTGGTTCAAGTATGATGAAGCATCCAAGGATAAAGCTGTGTCTGATATTTTAACGTTGTTCCAACAAGAGGATGTTGCTTTTTGCAAATTTAGGTAACTATAAGTTAATTTTTTTTAAAGTTCTTATAAATTGATATGATTTAGAAATTGTTTAATATTTTCCATGTAGGGGCCTTTTATAATCTATTGTATGGTATGGGTTTTCTCGTTGTTGAAGGTGATACGCTTGCCTAGAATTGCTTACAGACACTTAATTTTAACGTTGCTATTGATACTGTTTCCATTTGCAATCAAACAACATCTGCTCATTCTTATATTATAAGACAACACCACGGGTTAGGAAAAAACGAAAGGATAAGCATTTATAACTAAACATTTGCTGAACTAAAAACTTCAGTTAGGAAAGAAGTGTAGGTATGGATAATCATAAACGAACTTATCACATTATCAAATTTAAAAAATCGCCATAGATTTTCAGGCTGCCTTACATTGGTACCATAATATATATCCCTCTTTTTTTAAAAGTAGAAATCATAGAATGGACGTGATCATATTCTTTTTCTTTCAGAAACCAGTTTATAGACGAGCAACTCAAAATTGTCTGTGATCTATTAACAGCTCATGAAGATCGGAATGTTGGGGAAAGTTCATGTGCTGGATCTATGGACCCACACGATAGGTAGATATGAATTTTCTAATAACTAAAAAAAAGTTTGAGATTTCAAACTGTTAACAGATGCTTTATAAAACATGCGGTCGATATTAATCTAACAATACAAATTTCTCTTTATACAAACTGTATTATATGACATTGTATTTTTAAGATACAACTTTGTAAGAAGTGAACATCCTGCTGACAAAATTAAAGTAGTGATGGGAGATCCTTGCTTTGAGAACCCTGTGGTTTGACATTCTGCCTCCTTTTTCAGTGGTTTAATTATTCGGGTAAGATCATCAATGATGCCTTGTGTAGTTGGAAAAGTAGTATCGCTGATACCACCGTCAGTTTCCTCTCCCATCACAAAGTCTGCTAGTTCTTGAGGAAGGGCAGGAAGGGTTGGAATTGTTGGAACTTCCTTATATCGACAAAATAATAAACATAACAAAATAAAACAAACAGAAAAAATAATAAACATAACAAAATAAAACAAACAGAAAAAAGAATAAATATCAAAACAATAAAAAAAATTAATAACAATGGATACCTTATTACGTTCCTTCTGTCGTTACAAAATAACAAAATTACAAAATAAAACAAATGAATGAAAATTAAATTAATATGAAGCATATTTTAATCAGATTACATATGATAGTATATGTTTGTCCAAATTTGGATGTTTTTTGTTTTTCATTTGAAAGATATTTAATATGGTTTTGTTTGTGTGTTTTTTTTTAAATTGTAACGATATATATTTACTGATATCTCATGTATATACACTACATTTCAGTTATTTGTCGTTTGTTTATTTTGCGGCCATTCAAATCAAATATTGAAGGCTTATAAATGGGTGAGATGAAGGACAGCCATAAAAAATGTGCTTTTGTTTTTACTTATGCATTGGTCATGAATATTTAATTTCAACACCGTTACTAGTTCATTCTTAATAATTACCATCTGTGATGAAGTTGAACTTGATGGGCTTGTTGAATAACCCTTGGATGTAAAAGTATATATTGATCCACACTCGGCCTTTATTGTAATATTGATACTGGCCCTAGTCATGAATTCCAATTCTTTAACCGAAATGATATTGGTTTAATTGAGCTATGGAAATTAATAATTATTCTATAATGAAACTTCTATAAAACGTGAAAGGTTTTGATACCTTGCATGAAACTTTTTTAAATATCCATAGGCATAAATAAGAAATATTCATAAAAATATGTTTTTTGTTTTTATTCATATAAATTTCAATTTCTTGTTTTTAAGGTGTATTGCTCGCTGTCTACTTTGCTGGGACTGTCCTCCGTAGACGAGGATTACATGTACGCTTACGAAATCAGTAAAGAAATTACAAACTTTAGAACCATAATTCAAAATTCAAAATGCCTTGGACATAAAACCCTGAAGTCAATTAGCGGTAAAGATTTGGACAAAGACTTTATTAACCTATCTCAAAAAGCAAAAGAACACCGACGAAAACATCTCATATGGCTGAAAGACAAACCGCTAGGTAGTAAGCAAAAATATGAACCTATATTTGTATTGCCAACTGATCGAGAAAATTACGAAGACATAGCTAACAAGACAAAAGCGGAAATTAGTAAACTTGTGGAGAAAGAACTTGTAGGGCTTGGTGACCAGACACTCGATGACAAATGGATTGAGATCAAAAGAAAGACAAAATCAGAAATGTTGACATTTTTAAAGGAGATACAAGATGATGATGCATAGTTGAACTTATGATTTGTTTTTAGGTTCTTGTAATTAGAATTGTAAATATATGCTCATGTTGGAATATACAACGTAAGAATAAAATTTGATTAAACTTTAAGGGCTTAGCAACTAATATAATTTTAATTGCTTACAAATTTCTTTAAACATACAGAATAATGTGGTCATTGTCATAATGAATTCCGACTCGTCAATGTATATACACAATAGTCTATTAACAGTACTAAATCAGCAATTTTTTTTTGTATATTTGTCGTATTATTAGGAATGGAACTACCTTATTAAAGATGGTATCTTTCCTTCTAGAAAAATATTTCTGTTGGTCTTTCCTGGAATCGAGTTCTTTAACCGGCTTCTTTCTCTTCGTTGTAACCTGAACAGTCGACTTACGTCCAAATTTTGATGTTTTATCCTGAATGAGACCCATATTTTCCAATAGATTACATAATTTATATTTATAGCCGGACCCCCCCCCCCCCCTTTTTTGGCGAAAATACAAAAATAAGTAAAGAATATTTAAAATTTATAATTTGAAAATCGAATAAAACATTTTGTTGTGTCTGTTCTTCGAATTTGGTTATTACCATGCTTATTTACAATTATATATTATCTAATTCTCTTTTGATTACATATATATGTTTTTGTAATAGATTGATATCTATTACGATATTATGTTATTTATTGTATTTAAAAATGTGAATATGTTTTGTTTCTTATCCTTGCGTAGTCCTTAATTCTAAACTCATTGACAAATCATCATATATTTGAAAAGAAATATTAAATGATCAACAGTTTTTGATATTGTTTTGTTAATAGTGCCCTCCATACAATTTTACAAAGCTCAAAAGATTAATCAGCCAATAGAAAGCTTTGTTTCATATTGCACCTGCATTGATGTTCAAGATGGAGTAATGTAAGTCGACAAAGCTAGTGAGAAAGAGAATTTGTCTAGAAAGTAAAGAAATAATATGATATCATTGATAAATCATTTGATTTTTATACTTCCGGTTATGAAACCAATCTATTTTGAGACTTACGCAAAAGAATAGGTAATGGAATGGCAAACAACTTAAAGTAAACACAAGTTCATGTTAGTTAAAACTTACCACAACAGCTGACATGATGCGCTTTTCCAAAAATGCTGCGAAAACAATGTACGAAGTTTTATACCCCAGTTTTCGCGGGTTTTTCGACCCCAGAAAAACGAGTTTTTCCTATAAACATGGGATCACCCCATGTTTTATGACATGAGCCCAACCTGGTAGTTGTCTCCAAACTCATATGCGCATAATTTATTACATGACGGCTCAATCAGAATGTTGAAACTAACTTACGACTCTAAGACTTACCACTTCCAATATTTAATTAAAGTTTAAGCTGTTTGCGAGAACAATCAATAAGACACATGAATTCATCAGGACAACTGATTAACGGTTCTTTTCAAAAGGTTAAGGTCAATGATCATAAAGTTCTAATACTTAGAAACAAAACATGACAAAACTGTACATTTTCCGTAATTATGCGATCATGTATTTTCCAAAAATGTTTGTATTAAGTATGAGTTGTAAAACTAACTAACTATTTATAAATATGAATTCACTGGGTAATTTCCCTGGTTATTCAGTGACTAATTCACAGGGATACTCGGCCAACTGCTGTAGGTCGAGTAATTTGTCAATACAGCAAAGAAAAGTGCAATAAAGATATTTTTTAGATGAAAAAAAAAAAAAAAAAAGTTTCATTTTTTCGTGTGTTGAAAGGTCATTGTCTTAACCCATATTTTTTTTATTTATTAACTTCTGCCATTCACTCTTGACTACATTTATGATAATAACAAAATACGTTTATAAGAAATTTATTGGCATTTGCCCAAACTGCAATTTGTAGTTGTCTGGCGTACAAAATTATAAGCCTGGTATAAAAAAAAGTTTCAACTTAAATACTTGTACCGACTCCAAGGTAAATTCCAAAAGGGTAAGTCTATAAAAACTGACAAAAGCAAACGTTAGACCCTATCAACCAACGGAACGAATGGAAAAGAACTATCATGTTCCTGACTTGACACAGGCATCCCCGACGAAAATGGCGAGTTTAACCTGGTTTTATAGCTAGCTTAACCTCCCACTTGTATGACAGTTGTTTATAGTTCTGTTATATTTACAAAATTGGGTGAGCAACCAAAACAGACATAATAGGTTAATGTGGGTTCGTGCTGCTCAGTCTTCTATGTTGTGTTTTGTGTACTGTTGATTGTCTCTTCGTCGTTTTTTGCAATGCATTGTCAGTTTGCTTTCGATTTATTAGTTTGAATATCTCTTTGGTATCTTTCGCCTCTCTTTTACAAATGTACAACGCAACTGACTTGAAAATTTAAACAATTATACAAATAAATTTAACAAAGTCGCCGACAAAAAAGTTATGGTAGTTGATAGAAAATTTGACAAAGACTGAAACAAAAAAATTGTTGTTTTTGATTTGATAGTACATACAGTTTATTGTATACTCTTTCTAGATGAAGTAAAAATTAAGTTAAACAAAAATACAACGGTAAACAAAATGAAAACAACACTGTAAAAACCTCTTGCGTCCGAATCGCACCTCTGGAATCACTTGCACTCGGAACGCCCAAAGCTCAATACCTGGATACTTAAATATCAAGTCACGTCAGGAGTCATACGACCAAAAGGAACACAATAGCACAAAGAAAAATAAAGGGAAAACTGTCAAATAAATAAAAAGGTACATAGTACATGTTTCTGCTTTCTCGTCATCTGAAGATATGTAACATGGAAATTGCCGTTGTTCAATTAACGATAAGGTAAGTTAATTTACATCAATCTGCACTATAATGGTTTAAGGTAGATAGGGTGTCTTCCTCCATCTTGGATTTTGAAATACCAGAAAACAATCGGTCAAGATCCTTGAAAGGTGCAAATATTGAGAGTAGTACGTAATTCATGTGTAAGAATTTTTATTTGAATAGAGAAAATGACATATTTTATCATATTTATGGTTGTATTTTACAAAAAAACAGAATACTTTTGTTTGATTCTATTTTTTCCAACTTTGCCACATAAGGGGAGGTGTTAAGAATTGCGCTAACGTTAAACGTACCCTTTTGCGGTGCGGCCGCTATCTTTTTGACGTCGCGTTATTGTGATGTACGATTATGTTTATTGAATAGAAACTTATAATGGCAGACGTATTTATATCTATAACACCTTAGTCAAGCTTACGATCACGATCAAAATACACAACGCAACCCATTAACCTACATTGGTGCCGTGACTTCAAACGGAGAGAATGGACATCAGCCGATTAAAATCATTGAGAGCGGGGAACAGAGCAGCGGTAACAAAAGTTTTTAAAAAGCTGGAGGAAGCCATCGGAGATTCGCAAATAGACACGGAGGAAGTATCAACATTGCTCGAAGCAGTTGAGAAGAAAAAGAAGACGTTAGCCACAATAGAAGAACAGATACTAAATGCAGTCGAATTCGAGGATGTTA